AAAATGGCAGCTAAAGAGAGCAAAACGTAAATGAAAGCAACAGGGAATCAGAAACATCAAAACACTGTAGCTGCATGAAGGAAAAACGTCCAAAAAACTCAAGAGAGGCAGCCCCAACGTGGTCACATCAAGTCTGGAGGTTGGTGGCTGCCCTAGGACCCTAAAATAAACCTAAAAGAGTCAACATGGGCCCCAGGTTAGGTCTGACCCGAAAATTACAAATAAAACAGAATAAAAAAAATGAAATTAAATGCTGAGGTGGAAAAATGACATGGCAGATGATGTGGCAGCTCCACTTGAAATCCAGAAATTAATTCCAAGCCCAGATAATTACTAAACTGCCCTGAAAATAAAATTTTGGAATAATTAGATTTTGAAAACTCAAATTAGTTAAAATATGAATTACCGGTCCAATTAAAGCCCAAATAGAAAACAGTGGATATAATCAACAGTTAAGCGCAAATCAGAGATTAAAATAAGTACAGAAAGGTAAGAAAATAGGGGAAAATAATGACTCATCAGTCATATTATTTCTAGGCAAGAAATGGCAATAGACCTAGCAAAGGTTAAGAGTTTCATTGAATGGCCTATTCCACATAATGTCAAAGGTGTGTGAGGGTTTTTAGGACTCACAGAATATTATTGAAAGTTTATTTCAGGCTATGGGAAAATAACAAAGCCCTTAACCGAGTTGACCAAGAAAAAAGCCTTCCAATAGGGATTAGAAGCATTGGAGGCATTTGAAGCTCTCACCTCGATACTAACCTTGCCAGATTTCTCTCACCAATTTCAAATACAATGTGATGCTTCCAAAAAAGGAGTTGGGGTTGTTCATATGCAACGAGGTAAACCTGTAGCTTATTATAGAAAAGCTATCTTTGAAAATAACCTTGTCAAATCTGTGTACAAAAAAGAGTTAATGACTTTGGTGTTAGCAATTCCAACATTGGAGTCATTACTTAGTAGGGAGAAAATTTGTGTTGTACTCTGATCAAAAAAGTTTGTGCCATTTACTACGACAAAAGATCACCATTTCTAACTAGCAATGTTGGATGGCCAAGTTCTTGGGGTACCATTTTGATGTTGTCTACAAGCCTAGTCCAAAAAACAAAGCAACAGATGCTCTGTCACAAATGTATGAGGAGGGACATTTAAGGGCTATTATTTCAACCCCATTATGGGTTTAGGATCAAGAGGTGAAGTAGGAAGTGCAAAATGATTCCTTCTTGAAACACGTCATTATTGACTTATTGTAGGATCCCAACTCTAAGCCAAGTTTTGGTTGGCAGCAAGGTACTTTACAAGAATAGGTTGGTCTGGTCATCTAACTCTTCTTACACTCCCTTGCTTTTAAAAGAATTTCACTCGTCACCGATTGGGAGGCACTCTAGATTCTTGAGAACTTGTAGAAGAATTGCTATGAATTTATATTGGTCGGGTATGAAGAGAACTATTCAAGATTTTGTGTGACCATGTGATATGTGCCAAAGACAAAAATACTCAAATTCCTCCCGAGTACTAGTACAACCTTTGCCTATTCCAAATCAAATTTGGGAAGACATTTCCTTACCTAAGTCAAAAAGGTATGAGGCTATAATGGTAATATTGGATCAGTTGTTCAAATATGGCCATTTTATTTCCTTAAAACATCCTTACATGGCAAGGAAAATAGCAGAGGTGTTCGTTAAGGAGATAGTTCCTCTTCATGGAGTTCCTCGCACCATTATTAGTGATTGGGACCCATTCTTCATAAGTCTTTCTTGGAGAAAGTTATTATGGTTACAAGGTACGTTGTTGCAAATGAGCTCATCCTATCACTCAAAGATAGATGGCCAAACTAAAGTCATTAATCGCTGTTTGGGGTCGTACTTGAAATGTTTTGCTTCTAAACAGCCAAAAAGTTGGTCATACTAGGTACCGTAGGCTAAATAGTGGTATGACACCACTTTCTATATGTCTATTGAAATTACTTAAACATATTATTATATATAAAAATATCAAAAAATATTCTAATAATCATTTGCGTATATTATAAAAATAATACTTAATCTAATATAAAATTAAAATATTAATAATTTATCATTATTAATATTATAATTAATACTAATCATTTGCATATATTTTAAATATAAAAATGTTGATCTAATCTAAGTATTTATAAATATTAATTATTTACATATATTATAAATAAATTTTAATATAACCAAAGTATTTATATTTATTCATAATTTATAAACTAATAGTTAATAAAAAAAACCAATTCTTTTAATTACTTTTATAACAACAAAAAATTATTTCCCCCAAAATGCCCACTCCATAAAACCTTTCAAAAAGAAATCATCTCAAAATTCCTACCCAAACACTACATCACCTAGCCTACCCAAGCACCACGTGCTCCAAATTCACAAAAAAAAATCTTACAAAAAGTATTCTCCCTCTCATTTTCCAAATTTCCAAATCCTACACAAGCAATTAATGTCATTGTCGTGTGATGTGGTGTTACTCCCCATGTCCCAATCCAAACCCATAAGTAGTGCTATATGGCAGAAGTAAAGGGTGCCATGCACCATATTAATTCACGTGACACTCATTCAAAATTAGTATATAAAAAGTTTTATAATATTTAATTAATATAATTAAGATTTTTTGAAAAAATATATCAAAATATCTAATTACACCCTAGAATCGTGGACCCCAGCGAGGTGGATTGCAACCAAAATCACTAATCCCATTTTGTACTAGCAGGGTTATTCGGCCATCTGGCTCTGTCACTCGGCCACCTGATAGCCGACACCCAATCGGCACCCGAGTGGCCGAACTAGGTGGCCGATTAGCCACCACATGATCCATAGATCCAGATCTCCACTAATGAAGAGTTAAGGACTCCCCCTAATTAGGGATTAAGAGTTAATCATACCAATAAACTGATTAGAGGCGTATTACCTAATCCGGTAATCCTGTTGCAGGGCTCATGGGAATCCGGACCCATAAATGTCAGTATAAATAACTCATGTCACGAGGTAACGTCACTGTTCATTAATTACTATCGATACTTGTGTTTTGTCCTGACTTGAGCGTCGAAGTGCCTTTTGCAGGTTCCTCCCCCCTCACCGGAATATTCGATCGGAACTCTTGTTCGGCCCACAAAATACGAGAAGATTACTAGTGTACCCTTGAGACAGGTACACATTTCATTTAGTAGTCACCATTGGACCCCTATTTCTTCACAACTGTGGGAGCTCTATCTTACACAAGTATAAGGGTTTCATTTGCGGAAAGCTGGAATCCAACGTGGCAGCAGCGCAAACCAGTGTTTTGAGGATGAATGTGTCTATGTATGACTTATAACCATACCATTTCTCTACTCTCACAGACCAAACCGTTATTACCATACCATACCAATTCTCTACTTTTAAACAGACCCAACCCGACATCAATTTCTTGCATAGATCAACATCGACAACAAGAAACGAAGAGAAGCAGAGATAAGAGGAAGAAAACTTACGGTTAGAAAGGGAAAAGCTTGGTATCTTGGAAGATTGGTTGCTACTTGCTACAAAAGATTATCCCCAGTTCCTCACACAAGTGAGTTTCCAAGCTTCTAAGTTATCATTTTTATTTTTTTTAAGTCATCTTCTACGTTATTGATATGAAATGATTCTCTCTAAAATGATTCTACAAGATTCTCGTTACCTTTTTTTTAAGAAAAAAAGAGTGAACAATGAACAGTTATAATATTAATTTGTTGTATTGTGGATATATTATAAATGTGTTACAGACGTAACACCGTTACATTACAAAAAAAAATGAGTGATTTACTATCTCATCACAATTACAATTCAATGTCATTACGAACAAGGCCACAATTACAATATTACCATTGCAATACTTGATGTGATCCGCAATTTAAAACCCTGACATTCCTCATTTAGTATCCCTTGATAATCAAAGAATTGAGAAATCTTGAATATCCATCCCAGAGCATCATGACCATTAAGACTTGGAACGTCAAGCTTGACGGGTGGTCGGTTATAGGGAGGAGGTGGTGGTGATATATTACTGATGGAAGCAAGGCAATCAAGGATGATGTCAACTTTTAAGGTAAGGTCTTGGTGGTTGGTGGTGAGAATGGATTGGGCGTGGGTGAGATTGTTAACAGCTTCCTTCAAGCATTCAGTGGCTGATTTGTGAGTATTGTGGTCAGCCATGGCAGGTTAGACCAATTGGTAGAGCATAGATATTCTCCTTGACTTGAGGGTCATGGAATCTGGGGTAGGGAATCCTCCTCAAAACAGAAAAGGAATCTATCAACGATATAAAATGTGTTACAGTGTTATTCTAACACCTAAGGATCCATCCATTCTATATGGTGTATATTAAACAAAGTCACTCAAGTGTACCTCAAATTCTCACCAAGTTATATGGTATACAAGTTTGCTCCATTATTAATATAAAAGAATACCATAATTTAAAATTTTGAATTAATTTTATCATAAAAAGAGAAACCCGTATACCTTACGGTCTTTTATTAGCTACACTAATTAATCTATATTGAAGCCAAGGAAGCTAAGGAAAGATGTTAACTATTCAAATTGACAATGTGAACAAAACTTGGTTTCCGAATTTGATGAAATCTTGCTAACATCTTCGCCTTTTATTGACATTTTTTTTTTATCAAGTCTTATTTTCAAATTCACACTATCGTTGAAGTATATAACTAACTAAGGACCTATTTAGACAAATTTTTCTAGAAGTATTTCTAAGAAAAAAAATAAAATAAATTAAAATAAATTTCTGCATAAGCTAAAACTAGCTTATATATGAATTAAAAATAAAATTTTAGAGAAACTATTTGAAGAGAACTTGAATAAATAGTTTATGTATAAACTAATTTTAACTTATTTCACATTTTTTTTTCATTTTGCTCTTCTAGAAGTGTTTCAAGATGAATTTTCCTAAACAGACAGTATATAACTATGATGAACCTAAAAGCAAGTCAATAAGAAAACATTGTTTTAGCTAAATGTTAAACACTTTATTCATCCATTCAACATGTCCAGAAACCTCAGTCCGCAGTCTGCATATTGCTTTCATGTTTAAAGCTTAGATGCTAATATGCTACCTTGTCTGGTATATACATATGTTTTCACATGGTTTGAAGTCCACTTTCAATATCAAACAAGAACCATATCTCATTCACCCTGTTATCATATTCAAAAGGGGCGTTGTACTGTGCGACAGTGTAAACAGAAGCATGCCCAGCACTCTTGCTTTTCTCAACTGCAGCACCCCACTTAGTGCCAGCAATACTAGCCTTCAAGGCTGCAGCTTCCTCTCCAACATCAGTATCTTTGACAAATCCACCAAACTGTCTAACTGCTGCATACACAGTTTTCCATCTCTGAACCTGAAGGCCCTTTGCAGGTGGCGGGTTTGCTTGGTTCTCTTTTGGCACATAGAAGCTCACAACAAATGAGGACTCACAGAAGGGTCCATCACTGGGTAAAACTTCAGAGATCACCGGCCCTGTCATCTCAATTTTCTGCTTGTAGTTGTTCTTACCTTGAATGTAATCAAATAGCCTGAGAAAACACAAAGTGTAAGTGTAATTTGTTAAAAATATCATTTAGTTTGTTTGAGAGTTGTTATATACAAGCTCTAAAAATTGAACACTTACACCCTGCTATTGTATCTGTTATGGATCAATTTCAAAATGATTTCCTATGACACTCCTTTATTCTATTTTGAACTTTATGGTGTATGGCCACAATAAGTTGGCCTTAGTTACTTGTATCTTCCCTCAAACCTCCTCATCTCATATTTCTGATCACTCAAATTTAATTGACTTCATGGAAGGGACTATCCTCTGCCACAAGCACTTACTTAAAACCTATTGCAGTGTAAACAAACTTATTATCAAAGTCATGGTTTTAAATTGGGGTCCATAATCATAATTGTGACTACAATTTTGCGATTTTAAAGTAATTGTGATGCAATTACAGCCACATTATATGTAACTTTCCTGCAACGTAGTTGTAATCCCGAGCACAACCGCAGTTTAAAACCATGAATTGGTTTCACAGTATTCAATTAAATATGCAATGCAATACATTAGTTTAAACAAATGCTGAGTAAACTGATATTAACGTAATAAATTTCATAGAGTGAAGGCGTGGTTAAATTCTTCTAACTACTTACCAAAATGCATGAATAACATAGTAAATCAAAAGACTATATATGCTTTTCATTTTTTTGTGAATCAACAAATTGCACAGATTATTATTGTGTAACTCAAAAACTTATTATTATAAAATACTTTTTTTTATTTTACCATCTAAAGTGAGTTATCACATTTTATGTTCTTTTAATATTTTATTTTGGTTTAATAATAAGCTACAACATATTGGTCCCTATAAGAATAAAGTAATATCTCAGGTCACGACTATATATTTAAGTTGGGATTGAACTTTGACTCCATACCCAAATTATTATTACATTACTCAAACATGATTAGTCTTAAGAGAGCGGATTGGAACCTAATTTTAATTTACAAAACTAGCTTGTAAAGTGAGAATTTCTACAATTATGTACACTAATTGGGTCATATTACTAGTCGTAAAGCTTGCAAAACTAAACATGAAGGTAGTCCAATAGCAGGTAACGTGATAAACCCAACAAAACTCAATAAAAATAAAGTAGTACTTCTAGTCGCAACTACATATCCAAGTAAAGATTGAACTTCGACTGCATACCTATATTATTATTGCATTACTAAAACATAATTAGTCTTAAAAAAGTGGATTAGAGTCTAACTTAAACTTACAAAACTGTCTTATAAAGTGAGAATTTCTCCACTTATGTAAACTAATTTGGTTATATCACTAGTGGTGAAGTTTACAAAACTAAACATATGAGGATAGTTTGATAACGAGTGACCTGATAAACCTAACAACACCCAATAACCAATAAGAACAATGTTGGGATTCATCCCAAGTCCCACATCTGTAAAATGAAGGAACATTGGCTAGTTTATAAGGGTGTCCACCATTCCATATAGTGTGAGGCCTTTTGGGAAGGAGCCCAAAAACAAAGCCGTGCGGGCCTAGCCCAAAACGGACAATATCATACTATGGTAGAGCAACAGGTGGACTATCGGGCCCAACAAACAAAGCAGTATCTTTAGTTGCGACTACATATCTAAGTTGAGATTGAACTCGACTTCATACCCAGATTTTTATTGCATTACTCAAACATGATTAGTCTTAAGAAAGTGGATTGGAATCTAACTTTAACTTAAAAAATCAATTTGTAAATTCTAGAATTTCTCTTCTTTTGCGCGTTAATTTCGTCATATCACTAGTTATGAAGCTTGCAGAACTAAACATTAACAATGGTCTGATAGCAGGTGAGATGATAAACTCATCACTTCATATTAAGAAAGTGAATTAGAGCCTCACACGTGAAGATTATCATCAATTACTTATATAGAGTAAATTAGACCCACCTGTCGAAATGATATCTCTAACTATTACAAAATAAGTCACAATTTGTGAGTCAGTTTGTTTCATGCCGTGGTTTCTCAATTTCCAAAAGCTTTTCTCAAACGGTAAAAATTGTAGCTTTGTCATAGCAATATAAATTAGCTTAATTTCAATAAATAGGGAAAAAAGAGAGAGATTAAATTACCTCAAAAAGCCGGTTCTAGTGGCTTCAACGAGAGAAATGTCTTGAATGGGAGTGTTGGAAATCCAAACGGGTGAATTATAGCGGCGGATTTCGTAGCCATTGCCAACTTGTATGACGTCATAGCTGGGACACTCTATGCGCTTGCACGTTGGGGGAACTGCCCCAACATTCTCAAGTGATGAAACTGAGAGAAGGCTCAGAAGCAGTGAGAGTTTCCATGTCATGGTAGCAGCCATGGCGCGAGTTTCTCAACGCTAGTGAGCAAAGGATAGATAAAACGTGGAATTCAATGGCTACAGAGAAACTGTGGTTTCTATCCACACATTTTATGGACCTCTCTCGTGGCGTGACCATTGGTACCACCACACAAATCAATTTTACTTTTGCTTCTTTATATTTGTCCATATGGTTCTATAAATTTTGAAATACGCTTACGATTTAAAATTTATGTAATTAAAATATTCATATGTTACATTATTTTTGGTTTTTAATTATGTTTTTACACTTTAAGAAAGTTGTAATAATTTAAGAAAAAAAACAATGTAATTAAACTTTTTATACTAACTCCATTTTTGAGTTTTTAATTAGGATTTTATATTATAAATAAGTTCTTATAATTTACAAATTTTGCAAGTAAACTTATCATACAATAAAGCCATTTTTTAGTTTTTAATTAGCTCTATATAATTATAAAAAAAATTCTTTTAATTTAAAATTTTTGAATTTATTTATTTTTAATAAAAGCTAGGTATTCGCAACTTCATTGTAAGAAAGAGGCATTCCAACAATGTTACCTCAAAGTCTACCATTCATTTGCAGCACATCAGATAATATAAAATAAAATGAGAAAATTATAACAAAGAGCATGGGAGGACACAAAAACCCATGAGAAATTAACAGAACCTAAAAGAAGGACTATCACAACAATTATGAAAAAAAAAACTTTGATTGAATAAAAGATAACACAGTATCCGACCAAATTACACCAATGTATAAGGTAAACCCTTCTAAGAAAGCCCCACTAGTATCTCTAAGCAAACCACCACTAGCAGCATGCCTTGGAGAACCTCTCACACCTCTATATGTCTTACATTTGATGAATCCTCAAATAGGTGCCAATCCACTTGAGCCACATGAACAAGTGTTATGTCGTTTGGTAAGTGTACCAAATCGTATACGTAGTTCAATGAAAGTATGAGTATCGTCTCCTAAGGGACTTGCGCAACACTTTGCAATTTCAGTTGTTATACTAACTAAGCTACCGAAAAACAATAAGAGTTTGATTTGCTGCAGTAAATAATGTAAACAAGCAATAACAATTCCTTTTGGTATTTTGGTAAACACTTAGAGTGCAAAACTTGATTCTAATGCAATATTAATAAATTGTTGGGGTTTGACTTCACTAAACCTTCCTCTCATGCTTATCACTAAGTTCACAATAGTTATTATTCAGAATTTATCAATCACTCTCAAAAGTAACCAACCCTAATCTCTTACAAGTTGGCATCTAAGTTACTAGCTTAAACTATCAATCTCTTGCATAGTTTAACCTAGAAACCAGCTTTAAAAACAAGAGCTTAAGAAAGACCAATGGCATTTACTCTATCTCTAGCAATAAGCACCATTAGCTGCTCTATTTCAAGTCAAAGGTTTAAAATCATTTCTCAATCTCTTAAAAACCTTAAGTTCAAGTTAAGGGTGATCAAGCCATAACAAGCATTATGCACAGAAAAAGAGCAATAAAACTGAATAACAACTTAGATTGATAGCTTAGAGTTTACACATGAGAATGGGTTTAGTTACATCAAACCCCAACAAGGGTGAGTTTAGCTACACATAGACATGTAGAACTCTACAAATGATGAAGAAAGGAAGAAGCTTGATCTTGAAGGTTCCAGAGCTCTCCAGCCGCCACACAAAGTCCAAGAATGATCCTCCTTACTTCTCTCTTCGAAAATCCCACTTTTAGGTCATAAAAGCTTTTGTCTTATGTGAATAATGACATGTCAGCACAATCCACGCTAAGCCTCAGTTCCACGCTCAGCGTGGGGATCAAAATTCTGTTCCAGGGATTCTCTGCCATGCTGAGGCTAAGCGTGGATCTGGGGCTTAGCCTGGGGACTTAACCAAAAATTCCTTCAACTTCAAATTCACCACTTTGTGCTTGACTTCCTTCCTTCTTTCCTAGCTTTCTCCTAAACTACAAAACAACAACCAAATACTTGTAAGTTACCTAAAAACATGATTCAAAAACAAAATGTGATCACCTAACAATTTAGATATGTTTTGAGTTAAAAACAAAGTCTAAAGCAAGGAAAATTGATATAAGTGCTTCAAACTAGGCCATAAACTTAATGAAATCATAGCACTTATCAACAAGTCTAGGTGGATGAATTAAAACTGGAAAGTACTTCAAAATATGAAACTCCACCATAGAGTGAGATTGTGTCCTTTAGAAAGCAAACCAAAGAATGAGACTACCAAAATTACCATAGAAACTATAGAGAGGTTAGGGATTCTAAAATTTCTAAAATGCAAGTTGTTTCTAGATTACTAGATCACCCATATAACACGTGTCATGGTAGATAGAAAAACATCTTTCACCTGAGAGCTCTATCTCCTATCAAGTAGAGACAACAAAGATTCCACAAATGTGAGATCTAATGGCATGTTCAACACATGCTACAACCAAGTCCATCATGAGAAAGCAAAACCACACCTTAGAAATAAATGATCTAAGGACACATCTGATAAGCCACAAAGACTACAAACTTTTGCTTTTTTATAATTTGTCCATATGTTTGTGTAAATTTTGAAATACGCTTATGATTTAAAATTTATGTAATTAAAATATTCATGTTACATTATTTTTGGTTTTTAATTATGTTTTTACACTTTAAGAAAGTTGTAATAATTTAAGAAAAAAACAATGTAATTAAACTTTTTATACTAACTCCATTTTTGAGTTTTTCATTAGGATTTTATATTATAAATAAGTTCTTATAATTTACAAAGTTTGCAAGTAAACTTATCTTACAATAATAAAGCCATTTTTTAGTTTTTAATTAGCTCTATATAATTATAAAAAATTCTTTTAATTTAAAATTTTTGAATTTATTTATTTTTAATAAAAGCTAGGTATTCGCAACTTCATTGGAAGAAAGAGGCATTCCAACAATGTTACCTCAAAGTCTACCATTCATTTGCAGCACATCAGATAATATAAAATAAAATGAGAAAATTATAACAAAGAGCATGGGAAGACTAGACCAAAACCCATGAGAAATTAACAAAACCTAAAGAAGGACTATCACAACAATTATGAAAAAAAAAACTTTGACTGAATAAAAGATAACACAGTTTCTGACCAAATTACACCAATGTATAAGGTAAACCCTTCTAAGAAAGCCCCACAAGTATCTCTAAGCAAACCACCACTAGCAGCATGCCTTGGAGAACTTCTCACACCTCCATATGTCTTACATTTGATGAATCCTCAAATAGATGCCAGTCCACTTGAGCCACATGAACAAGTTTAGGTGGATGAATTAAAACTGGAAAGTACTTCAAAATATGAAACTCCACCATAGAGTGACATGTGTGTCCTTTAGAAAGCAAACCAAAGATTGAGACTACCAAAATTACCATAGAAACTGTAGAGGTTAGGGATTCTAAAATTTCTAAAATTCGCAAGTTGTTTATAGATTACTAGATCACCCATATAACATGTGTCATGGTAGATAGAAAAACATCTTTCACCTGAGAGCTCCATCTCTTATCAAGTAGAGACAACAAAGATTCCACAAATGTGAGATCCAATGGCATGTCAACACATTCTACAACCAAGTCCATCATGAGAAAGCAAAACCATACCTTAGAAATAGATGCTCTAAGGACTCATCTGATAAGCCACAAAGACTACAAACTAAGACCATGGCCAAACCCCTAGCACGTAGTTGGTCATTTATAGGAAGTCGATCCTGTAAAAGCCTCCAAACTAGACATGAGCATGAAGGTGGGATAGAGTTGGACAAGTTCTTAGTCTATGCAATTGGTGGAGTAGGAGTAGGAGGTTGAACATATATATATATATATATATATATATATTAATCATTAATAATTATTAAAATATTTTAACCTAAATTTTTCCCTTTAATTTTGATATATTTGTATTGATATAATATATAATTACACTAGCAACCAAATATATCTTTTAATTGTGCCATGCCACTATAAACACATTTACTTTTAACAGTGACATGACACAAGTAAAAGATATAATTGGTTGCCAGTGTAAGAAAACTTTATACTGGCAGTGTATAGGTGATTAACTCATATATATATATATATATATATATATATATGCTTCTTTCAGCAAAAGGATGCCATAATTTGTTGGGCACCACACATGTTGATCAAGAGCTTGGCCAAAAGGAACAAACAAATCTGCTAGTACAAGGAGTTTCTATATAATTATTTAAGGGATAGTCCAAGTTGAGTTACTAATGAAACAATTCACAAAAGACTTCAAAGACGTCTGAAGACTTATAGTAATTTATAAAGTGTCAGCAATAGAAGTATCCATGCACCAAACATCGATATAGAAATTAACCCTGGAAGCAGTTTCCAAAACCCAACCTATGTTAGCATGCACAGTATTCCAATGACAAAATAACAATTAGCCAAATAGATGAAGCCTTATAGCTAACCATCAGAAGAACATGATGTAAAAATTGAGCCTTTATTAAAGAAGCCTGATGAGCATCGGAGTGGACAAAGGACCAAGCTAGGTTGATTTCTTTTATCATTGCATAGATATGATTAAGCCTATATTTCATAATCATGCTCAAAGTTATAGGGATGATCTGCTTCTCATGTATGTAATAAATAATATGTTGCAAATTGATTGGGTTTCAATTATAAATGATTGCATTTGGAAGGTAAAGAGAAAGGAAGATGGTCCTTATCCTTACGCTCTCTTATTGTCTAAAGTATTTGAGATTCATGGAGTGGATCTAATTAATGAGAAGAAAATCATTTTATATCCATCCAACAAGATTGGAAGGACATATCTTCATCACATGGGGATGCTAAATTAAGGTAATAGGTGGATATTTAAGGGTGATGTGCCTCAAACTCTTGATCCTATGACTTATGAGGATGAAGCTGCTACTAAAGAATAAGAGATGGAATAGCTTGAGGATGTTGAATTGGAACTTAACCCATTTACTCCGTTTAAACAAATGATGATCAACAATGAATGTTATCATGGAAGCTAATAGGAAGCATGAATCAAGTTTCTATGGTATGCTTGACCACTTTGATGAGCTACAATATGAAGTCAACAAGATCAATCAACATCTTAGGATTGAGGATGATTCAAATTGAAGACCTTAGTCTAGGATTTTTTGTTTCTTGTTTTGGTTTGATGTTGTTATTGATTTAAATTATTTGTTTTTTTTTTTTGGAACAATTGTTTAAGTTTGTTTTGATTTGGATTAATGTATTGCTAGTTTTTGAACAATAAATGTATGGATGACTTTCGTTTGTTGGTTTTGAAAATTTTCATTGTGTACATGATGAGTATATGGATTCCAATATATGTTGCATTTCTCTAGTTACTTTTGAATATGTTGTTTTAATGATGTCCAAAGAGGAGAGAGGTGTATATGTTATTTTACAGGTTATTATTATAAAGCAAAAGAGTAAAATTACAAATTACAAATAATGCATATAAAAATAAAGAAAATAAAACTATTTATATTGATGATAAGATTCGAACATGGGTATTTTCTAATAAGTTTGACTCAAGCATAAATTAATTAATAAATCACTCCCTCTATTATTTATTTTAAAAAATATTTTTAAACAAATAAATTTTAACTACTTTTATCTTATTTAATAATATATTTTTAAAAATTTTCACTTAAATACATGATGTTTTAGTTATATTACTTCTTTTAACATTTATAACAAAGAAAATTTAAAAAGAATATTATAAGATTTATAAAATTTAACACAAATAATTAATTCATTTTTTTATAATAAAAGAGTATATTAGACAATTTATTAAAATAAATTCAAAATATTTTATATTTTATGCACTATTTATAAAATATTTTATAAGTTTACTCCAACACTCTCATGTATATAATCAATTTTAAATTCTAACGTATAGGTTATGTTATCGAAACGGTATGAACCGATGAACCGACTGGTTTATGAGCCTTCTAACCCACGCTCCGCAAACTATTATACTAGTTTTATATATACTAGTAGAAAAAAGTCACTTCGTGCTTGCATTGTATTAAAATAAAAAATTACTTATAAAAAAGTAATTATTAAAAAATAAATAAAAGATAAAATGGTACATATAAAATAAAACAAAAAAATAAAAATTAAATAATAAAAATATATTAATCTAATTAGTATTATGATTAATCTATTAGTTTTAAGTTTTTAAATTTGATAAAAGAAAATATTTTTTTTAATTTTTTTAAAATAGAAGGATATAATAGTTCAAAAATTGTAGAGATCAATGTAGTTACTAAAAAAATGTATCCCTTTTATATATTAGTATAATAAGACTTGAATACACGATAAGACTAGATGAAAGCTCACAAATCACTAAACCATTGCTCCTACTTGATGTTATATGATTTATAAATATTTAATATATCTAAATATAAAAATATATTTAATTATATAACTATTCAAACTGTGATATGTTACGTCTTTTTAAATATATTTCTTTGTATAAAAGTATAAAAATAATTTTAAATCTAGATAAATGCAATTATTTAATACTTTAATAATCATTAAATTAACATATTTTTATTATTATACAATTAACTTAAAATTATATTAATTATATATTAAATTGTTATTCAACGAATCTAGCTATAACTTGATTGATCTATTAGAATCATATTAATTAAGAGAATATTAAAATTTCTTTTAAGTTATGATATAAATTTATATATATATATATATATAATAAATACAATATAAATATTTTTTTTTTAAAAAAATTAATAGAAATCAAGTTATACAATCTACTGGTCAATCATTAACTCATTGAGTTAGTATTTTGACTAATTTGATCATCAATCCAATTTGCAGAACATTATATATAATTAATAAGATAAGTACATTAATAAGATATGCTAAATACATACAGCATCCAACTTATATGAAAAAAAAAAAAACATTAGTGATATATTGAAACCCTAATATTGACAGGTACCCCTAATTAATTCCTATAGCATTATGGAGCTGCAATTTTCTCAAAATGAGCAAGCCTATTCTCAGCCAATCTTGTAGCATAAGCGGAATTTTTATACTCAAACCACGTGAACTCTTTGTATAAGCTTTTGCCTTTCATAAGAGAAGGCAATGGCACTATTTTCTCACTCAGAGGTGGACTAACAAAATAAATCATTGAAAGTCTCGATTTTAATTCATTTGCCAAAACTCTGTGCCTCACACTCTGGAACCTTCCATTGGTCATAACCTGTGAAAAAAAAAAAGCATTAGCAAAGATACACTATTAAAAAAATTTATCATATAATAATATATATTTTATAGTAACATATAATATATATCATTAAAAATTTATTTTTACATATACTATAAATATAATATATATTAATATATTATTTAAAGTGTAAGTATAATGAGAAGGGACATTTGTCAAATAATGAAGCCCGTACTACCTCCAACAATTGTCTGTTTTTCCTCTCAGCTAGTCCATTTTGCTGAGGTGTATACGTACAGGAGGTTTGGTGTTTTATCCCTTTAGAAGTTAAGAATTCAAAAAAGGATCCATTCTTATACTCAAGGCCATTATCCGATTGAAAAATTTGGATAGAAGTATTAAATTGTGTTTGAACCATACTGTGAAATTTCTGAAAAACAGGGAAGACGTCATTTTTATGTTTAAGCAAAGAGATCCACACCATTCAAGTGCACTCATCAATAAAAGAGACATAATAATAAGAATGAGAAAATGAAGGGACTTTAGCAGGGTCCCAAATGTCAGAATGAATGACTTGAAAGGGAATACAACTTTTATTCAAATTGGGGTAAAAAGGAATGCGATGGCTTTTAGCCATTTCACAAGTAGAACATTGAAATTTAGAGGGATGACAATTTGAAAATAAATGGGGAAATAATTTTTGAAGATAACCAAAGGAAATGTGCCCGAGTCTTTTATGCCAAAGCCAAGCAACAGAATGGAAAGAATCTGGAGTTTTAGTAGCAGATGCTCTGCAATGCAAGTCATTACCACCCTCAGAGACATCTAAGAAATAAAGATTACCACGTCTAACACCATAGCCAAGAATCACCTTGGTCTGGACGTCCTGAAAGACACAAAATGTGGGCCAAAAAATCACACTGCAGTTAAGTTGTGATGTAAGTTGACTAACAGATAAGAGATTGAAATCAAGAGAAGGAACAACAAGAACAGAATGAAGAGTGAGAGTTTTTGATAGAGTAATGGTACCCTGACCAGTAATGGAGGCAGAACCACCATTAGGAATGGTTATGGTGGACTTACTGCATGGGAAACAATGTTTTAATGTAGAAGCATCATGAATCATATGATCTGATGTGCCAGTATCAATTATCCAAGTAGAATTCC